TTTTCAACACAAATTGATATCAATTTGCAATTTTTTCATTATGCTATATTTGTCTAAAACTTATATTAGAGTCAGTTAATTTCTTTGAATTATTTACAAGGTTGTTCCCAGTGTCAAGTGATATATCACTGTCTTTAATGGGTTTCAGTGATTCTATAATTGAAGTATTAACACTGTACTTCTAAATGTGCATATAATTTTCCTCTTTCCACTCTAATCCCTGTGTCTTGTATTCAAAGGTTTTTATAGATTTATACAGGAAATGGGGGTTTCTCCAAGAGGGGGCTACAGTTTTCATCAGTCTTATTTACCAATTTCAATCCTGGGAGTGAACACTGGGTGGCTGGGAGGTGATAGGTAAAGGAAAGAATGTTCGAATAGATTATTTCTCAAACTTGGATAAGCATCTGACTCATCTAAATGGATAATTAAATGTACTGATTCTTGTCTCCACCTACCTACCTTCAGTGATTCTGTTTCAAAAGGTTGAGGTAAGATCTGAAAATCTGTTTTGCAAAATCTTTCTAAGGATTCTTCTATGTAATTGGGCTTAGACTTAGTGGTATAATATGAAATCCCCCACTTCCAGGAGATGAATATCGATAGATAGATAGATAGATAGATAGATAGATAGATAGATAGATAGATAGATAGGTGTCTGTGTACACACACATATGTGCACACACTTACAGATATTTATATAAACATATTTATATACACATATATAAAATAATGTATCATACACTTATTTGTATACACATATAATATTTCTCAGCATGAAACAGGTGGGAAAAAAGATAAATAAACCTTTGTTTTCTGAGCAAGTCCCTTAACCCCAGTTTTTTTTCTCTAACATAAACAATGGATTTGGAGTAGAAAATAATACAGATCCCTTGTAGTTTTTGAGTAACGTGACTTTAGTGCTTAGTTAGGTGGAAGCTTTACAGAAAAATTAATTCAAGGAAAAAATTATCCCATCTGGCCTTACTGAAATACTGTAGAAAAGTTTTCAGTTCTAAATTGGTTCCTTATATAGATTTTCCTTTTCTTTTTTATAATTTATTTTTGTAATATTCCCTTTAAGTTCACAGATATAGTATACTTTTTAAAGAATTGTTATAAATAATATAAATGCCAGATTCTGTTTTACATAATTCAGACAAAATAGATATGGTACAATATACTAACATTATAAAGAATGTATGATTTACATAGGACATAAAAACTCGATTTTGATGTTCTTCATGAGCTCTGTGCTCCATGGTTGGTGGTGGTTCATTCTACTTTGATCAAGGCAGTTTTAGCAACTCAAGAAATTGATGTCATCAGTGGTTTCCTGATATAAGATGTTGCTTTGATCACATATAAGATGTTGCTTGGTATAGTTCCTAGCTCATAATGACTGATCAAAAAGTATTTTTTGAATGAATTCACAGATATACAAAAATACTCATTTTTGCAAAAGTTCTCACCAATGACTCTTAAACTAGGTATTTCCACTGACAATTCAGTCTCCTTGATAGCCTAATAAACTTTTACCTAACAGCTTTTATATGAGAACCTAAGTTTTAAGCACATTCAGCATTTTGTTGAATTTCAGAAAAGATTTTTGAGCTGTTCTACTACCTACCTGCAAGTGCTGCTTTTCTGCATGACGTCAGCTCGATGATATCCAGAGAGTTTGCAAAAACCGTCATTACTATAAACTACAGGCCAATCCACAATCTGGGCATTTCCCAGTAAGAAACTCGATTCTAAAGAAGAAAAGAAGAAAAGGGAAGCTTTTTACTTTCATTTAACAATGCACTTTTTCAAACAATCAAAAAAAAAAAAGGCGAATTGTTAAAAGACACAAATGCAGCTATGGTTTTTTATAGTGTGAATAATAAAAACTATTCTCTAAATTGACACAATCTGATTGGCATGATAACATAAGATCTGCAATAAGTTAACAGTTTGTATACAAACTAAAAACTTCTTTGAAAAAGAAGCCAATTTATTATATCTCTTTTCATTCAAGTATACACTAAGCTATGGGGAGGGGGGGAGTATGGTTAATTAAATAAGTGTTAATGACTAAAATATTATACCTAAAACCAGGCTGATTCAGTAAAATTAGGGCTACAATCACTTTGCACAATTTAAGAATACTGAACTTGATAACCAAGCAAATTTGGGTGACCCATTTCAAAATTCTATTACTATAAATTTGACATGATGATATAAATTCTTTGTCTTGAGAAATCTGATTTAGAATAGATTTGCAAAAATACTCATTTTTATAATAATGCTGAAGAATCCTTTTTTAAAATAAAATTATTCAAAGATGTTATTTTCAACCACAAACTACAGAGAATTTGAAATTATCATTACTCTAAATTTTTAAAAATTATCTGGTCTATTTTGCATGGGCAAGTAGTTTTGCTTTTAGTATAGTTTTTTTAATTGTATATTTTGATATTAACTTTGAAATTCCATTATTTTAGATAATTAGCAATTTTGTGAATCAGATGAAAGATATTAAATGAACTAAAATATATTGTTAAAATATAAAGTTTGAAATTTTATTTTAAAATTAAATATTTAGAAATAGTTAAAAAATTATGAGGAATATTCTAAAATCTACCTGGAACTCTAATGCAGGGTGGAGAGAAATTAACATATATAACATATAATCAAGAAAAGAGAGATTAACATGTAATCAAGAATGACAGTTGGTCTTCATAAAATTAACAATTCAATTCAATTCAATATTTACTAAGCAGATGCTACAGAAAAGGCACTGCTCTGGATTAGGCAATTGGATATAATAAAGACAAATGAAACATACCGTTTACTCTCAAAAATTTTCATGTAAAGAAAAACAAATTTGTAACAATGATTATAATATAGCAGAATAAATGCTAAATCAAGAAACACTGGACAATACAGGAGGAAGTTTGTTTTAAGACACTAAAAAACAACGCAAAGTAGAGAGAAAATGGTAAACATAAACCCTTGAAAGAAGAGAGGCATTAGGTGAGATATTCATTTAACAGTCCATTCCATTGAGAAGCATTTCCAGTTCACATAATTCATAGGACGATATGGTCAAGCAGAAAAGTTTCATTGGGCTTAAAATCAAAAGTCTCAATCGGGACTGCCAGAGTAGCTTGCAGATGAGGGGCAGATCTTTTAACATATAGTCATACACGTGTACTAAATTCTTTTCTGTGTCCTAAACTGTATACAAACAGAAAGATATTATAAGGAATCTGGGAAAAAAGCAATGACTAGAAAGCTAAAGAAGTAGAAATTTCACCAACTCCCCAAACTGGAAAACAAATGTCAAAGTTCAAGTCCTCTCAAATTAGAGAAGCTTGGTAAATATCTCAAGCTTTCTATTTAAGCCACAAAAGGTCATACACTAGGACTAAAAACAAGTCACAGGATAAAAGATTGTGACCTAGGACTAAAAAAAAAAAAAAAAAAATGCAGAAATAGACTCACATTTTAAAAAATGCTAAAATCAGGTCTCTTCATGACCATAGTGTCACACCAGTAATTTAACTACCTGGTAAAATTAAATGCAGCCCTCCTCTAGGAAATAATGGAATCCAAAATCACTATATCAATACAATGTGCAGTATAAAATTAAAAATTATTGGGCATGCAAAAAAGAAAAAAAATATGACAATGATCAGGGGGATTATACCCATAAATTTTATAAATGGAATAGCAAATACCCAGAATAAATACTGACAAATAAAATCCAGCAATACATACAAAAGAAAATAGACCATGACCAAATAGGATTTATCTCAAGAATGTAAGGTTGATTTGTAAATAAATGTAAGGGCTCCCCGGTCGCCTAGGGTTTGGGTCTCAGGACCTTTACTGCTACAGCCTAAGTTCAATTCCCCATCAGGGAGCTAACCCACAAATGGCGCAGCAGACCTCTCCTGTCTCGCCCGCTGCTCCCCCTAACAGTGTGTTTCAGTAAATCTACCTGTTCTGCTCCCCACTCTCTGGGTGTATCCTTTCACCCTCCCCCCTGCACCTCTGGTCTACACCCCAGTTGTTCTATGCAAAAATAAAAACAAAAAAATAGAGATAAATGTAACTCATTACATCAACAGAATAAAAAAGGCATATGATCATATCTCAACAGATCAAAAAAAAAGCATTCGTGGTTAAAATATCTGCACAAACTAGAATAGAAGGAAACTTTCTCAAGCTGACAGAGGGTTTCCACTAAAAACGTAGAGCTACAACAGTCTTGAAGGTACGATATTGAATACTTTCACCCTGTAACCAGGAAAAAGTCAAGGATGTATATCAAGTCATTGGGAAGTAACTTGAACAGGCATTTCACAAAAGAAGACATGCAATAGTGACAAGCACAAATAAGATATTCACCGTCATCAGGCACCAGGAAAATACAAACGAAAGGCATAATGATTAGAATAACTACTAAAACTAACATAAAGCTGATGAAAAGCTGCAACAACTGAAACTCTTTTTAAGATGCTAATGAGACTATCAAATGGTATGAAACACTTTGTAAAAGTTTCTTGTGAAGTTAAACAATCAACTATGACCCAGAAATTTCACTCATAGGCATTTTCTTAAGTGAAATTAAAACATATATTAACAAAAAGACTTGTAGGAAAATATCCACAAGGATTTATTGATAGTAATCAAAATTAAAAATAAACAACTGTCCATCAAGAGAAAGGATTAAAAATTGTGACATGTTCTCACAAGAAGTACTGCTGGCTCTAAAATGAAATAAATGATTGTTACATTCAACAACATGGATAGATTTGAAAAACACTATGATGACTGAAAAAGACCAGAAATTAAAGTGTATATATTGCATGATTTCATTAATATGAAGTGTAAATACAGGTAAAGCTAATCTGTGGTGACAGAAATCAGAAAAATGATTTCTAAACAATATGGCTGGGGGACTGATAGAAAAGAATCAAAAGGAATTTTCAGGGGGAGGTGATGATTGTCTATGTTGATAGACGTATAAGTTACATAGGTTTATTTGTTAAAATCCAATGAACTTTCACTTAAAATCTGTGTATCTTATTACATATAAATTACACCTCAAAATTTAAAAAAAAAATCCACAGGGAAGAAAGGAGACCAGAGAATCATATATTTCAGGAAAACAGTGATGTTCGCACTGAATCTTAGTTTTGCGAATGTTAATAGTAGCTTTCCTTGGTAGATACAGTGGCTAGAGATCAAAGTGAACTAATTCCTGCAAAAAGTGCTTCATAAAGTATAAATTCCTCAGATGTGATAATTTCATCTAATTACAGCATCACTTACAAAAATCTACAATGTGATCATCAAAAATTATCTTCTTTCCCCTCTTAGCACAGACAAGGTCTTACCTACGTGGTTTCCCTGTTTCAACTCATCCTGATTTTCAGTATGATTTTTACTTGTCCCCTGAAACTCTGCCTCCATCCTACCACTCTTCATCCAAATCAAGAAAACCAACTGCTTATATTTCTCATTGCACCTAAACTCCATATTTTTCCAATTAGATCAGTATTCTCATTAAGTTTCAAAAATATGCTTACCCATGATGTCCACTACCTACTTCAAACACCTTTCTGCCACCCCTTTACCTATAAAAACAAAATCTTTAATAACCATCTCAACACTACCCTCTCTATGACATATCCACTGAGTACCACTCGGCCTGTATTCCACTCTGGACACTCCCATATCTGTCTCTAACCCTTCAGAGGACAAACTTTCCATTAAAATTCTCTATTTTCAGCCTCCTCAGTGGCGCAGCAGGTTAAGCACAGTGCCGTGAAGCTGTCTGCAGCCTTTGGGCACTGGTTCGATTCCCCGCCAGCCAGGAAGAAACCCACATGGCGCAGCAGACCTCTCCTGTTGCACCTGCTGCTCCCCTCAGCAGTGTATTTCAGTCAATCTGCCTATTCTGTTTCCACTCTGTCTCTGGTGAATCCTCTCACCCTCCCGTGCTTCTGGCCTATACCCCAGTTCTTGTATAAAAAATAAATAAATCTTTAAAAAATAAAATAAAATAAAATTGTCTATTTTCATTGGCTCCATATCCTCAGGTCCTATTCATTTGACACACTCCTATCTGGCCTATGCCTTTACCCCTCCACCAAGACACCCGAGGTCACCAGTCACCTCTCCATGTAGACAAATCCTAAGGACGCTTTTCACGTATCTCACTTTATAATTCAGAGGCACTGATATCCACAACTTCCTTTTTGAAAAAAAAGCTATTAATCCTTGGCTTTCATAGAAAACTTCCCTGTTTTTTTGAATTGGCTTCATATAAATATAAGCGATTAGTTCACTTCTCATTAAAAAATTTAATCCCTCCGGACATTCATCCATTTTCTTTGCAGACTCAAAATTCATTATCCATTAAGTATGAATCAGAGTTGCTCCACATCAGTTCCTCTTTACCTGTTTCCAGAGGTTCAGTAACATAATTTTATATCTCCAAGCCTCTTGTATAAACTCTAGAACTTGATATCTAAGTTGGCTTTTCCTCATATATCTTAACTGTATTCATGACCCATGACTGCTCATTTCTTCAAATTGGATATTTTTCCAGTGTTTGCTATCTTAGTGAATGGTTTCACCATCCATGCCATTGTGTAAGCCAGAAATCTCGGAGCCATCTTCCAACATCTTTCTGATTACCCCTATATTTAATCCATTACCAGCTCTATTTATTTTGTCTTTAGACTCTTTCACATCT